CACCCATTTAGATATTCCCAGTCAAGAACTCCCAACTCCGCCTTACTTCTCACTTCAGCCACCCTCAGCTCACACCCCACCTCCTCCAGTGCCACTTTTTCCTTTCCTCGTCTGAACCACTCTAATCAGTAGTATTTCCTACATATGTGGCCTTCCCTATTTCAGACTAGCATTGTGGTAGCTAACAGAGGTTCCTCATACAGCACGTTTAAGGTAGTTTTAGTGCATAGCAAGAACTCACTGACTGTTAGCAGTTAGTACATTACAAAGTTATTTCTCCCTTTTTTTGGCATGGTGTTTTGCCTTGGTAAAGACTCAAGAAATGCTTACTTTTGACTACAACTATGACATTGGCACGTTTCTGCGAACGACCTACTTGCCCACGTGGTCTCCTGAGATGGAGTCCCTGGCTCCTCATTTACTCCTGGATACCCTAAGTTGCTGGCGAGGCCTGTGGGCGTTCAGGAGTTGGGCCCCCACACACTCCCCTACATGAGCGCTAGGACACTGTTATCAGCGGAGCACAGACAACACCCCGTTCCAGGTCAGCTGCCCCTTGATCCCCAAACCTTCTCTGCCACAATCTTGGAGAGGTACACTAAGCCTTGCAGAAACCAAGTATCAATCCTGGGACTTTTCTTCTGAGACCTTGAAGACCAGGGAAATCCCTCCATTTCAGGAGTCTCAGGGGAGGAACGTGCAGAGAAACGGGGGTAGGGAAGCTTGCTCGGGGGAGACGGAGATGGGGCGGGCGTGCACAGCAAGGGTGGCATTTATGAAGCAGAGCTCCCACGATGCCCTGGGCACAGAGACTTTAGACAAGTGGTCCCACTGAACAACACCCACAGGACGGAAAGACACTGTTATCCCCAGTTGACAGATTAGGAAACTGAGGCCTGGAGATCGAGGAACTTGCCCACAGGTGCACAGATAACAGCGTCAGGGTGTGGACTCTGAACCCCAGGTCCTCCTGAGGCTAAAAACCTGTGTTTGTGGCAGAAGCTAAATTGATTTGAACTAGCTGCATTAACATTTATATTTGATTTCATTTAATTGAATAAAAAATATATTCCATACACTTACACGTCTAGGCCCTCAGTGAATAATTCCAAGAAGTGAAAGCAGCGGCTTACTCAGAATGGTGTGTATAAAGCAGGTGGCTGCTCTGGACGGCGTGCTCAATACGGGGTCTTAGGTTGCAAACACTTAGAAAACAAATACATACCGAAAAACTTAGGGAGAAGAAATGGACCTCAAAACCACTACTTTTTGGTAATAAAATATAATGACACATGTAAATGTGTGAAGAAGAGTGCCTACATTAGCACACACATTTTGTTCAAGGAAGTGAGAGTGTTTTCAAGGAGGCAGGTTATTTTGATCACGCCAGTAGGATCAGCTCTCGATCGGGGGCTCATCTGTGGATATCTTAAGAGTTACTGGCTCCAACATGATTTCTAGGGAAGTGTATTCTTTGCAGCGTCTTTTACTGTATAGTCAGCTGAAGTAAAAACATCCTAAATGGGGTGGCTTTCATGTAATTATTAGCAACCCCACGATGACAGTGACTCCACTTGGACTTATTACCGTTATTTGTCACAGACAGCAGCTGAAGCGATGCAGCAAACACACCACAAAGTCTCCAGGGAAGAGATAACAACACTCGGTGACGATGGGAAAAGTGCTCTCGCTTACGCTGTTCTGCACAAACACGTCCCTTCCAAAGAGTCAAGAAATCACTGAAAGCTTCCATTACCTATGTCTGCAATGCTTATTATTCGCTTTCATATTTGAAATAGGGAATAATATTAAAAAAATAGCAGTTCTTCTCCGTCTAGTACAATCAAACAAAAGCAAAGAAAAATAAGCCAAAGTAGAAACAAGACTAAGGAGAGAAGGAAGACATTTTTCCACGTCAACGCAAATGAACTACATAATTAAAAAGCCATGCCGACAAGGGAATAAGTCACGAGAAATAAATACAACCTTTCCTGTTATCAATTAATGAAAGGTCACTTACTCATAAAGCAGATTGTTTCATACATTATGCTCCCCGACGCAAACATTTCAGGTGCGGTGGCAGGTGGAGAACATGACATTCAGTGAGATCATAAAACTCCATAAGGATGATGGGCCTTTTAGGGTCTCCCTATGAATTACATGTTTACTAAAATAGAATGATTAAAGCCCTGTATCTTAAGGGTGATAAATAGGTTGCAGGCCGAAACATGCCTTGATTAATTTTACTGATGACCTAGCAGCTCTCTTGATTTTAAGCAGCCACTAGGAGACGACAGATTGAAGAGTAACGTAGCATAAGGAAAATAAAAGTTACAGACAGACAAATAAGTAATGGTGTCACCATGTTACACTGTATAAACCCATGATGCCGGACTTCCTGAAAGGGAAATAATAGCGCACTGCCATGTTCATTTCAATGTACTTTTCAGAGGCAATTAAATTTCCCAACACAATGATTTTTTTTATAAAACATGACATTCTATAACCCAGTCAAAGTTTGTATTTTAATTCCAACCCTAATGATTTATTAATCAAATGGAAGGGTGAAATCCCTACCAAAAAATGCTTCTGGAAGTGCACTAGGATACGGTGGCATTCAATGGAGATTCCCTAACTGAAAACCAAGTGCTGATACTGCATTCTACCTTTCTTAAAAAAAAAAACCGGCTGGTTATGCAGCCACCATTTTGTAAATTTCTGCTGTAGAAGATCAAGGGAGAGTTCGACAATACACATACACATCAAAATTCAAAGACAGAGTCTAAAGACTGGCTTGTAGTCTTACCACAAAGCCATCAAAATCAATTAGTGTGCCTGGTTTCAAAATCAATGCAGTGTGTCTGGTTTCAGGGAGGCAAACCCGAGTCAAGTGGTTTCAACCCTGGCTCCGTTCCAGAAGCCAGTCTGTGGTGGGACTCCTGCCATGGACCCTGACTGCCCGCCCCCCCCAGGGTTTCAAATGGGCCACGAGGGTTGAGAATCATTGTTTTGGTCTCACAATACAGGCAACTACTATGAGCTCCTTGCAGAGTCAGATGTGCTCAGACCCCTTGCTAACTTTCTAATCTGAAGACGGTGTTATTCCATTTCAGTCAGATTGTAACTAGAGGCTCATGTTGGGAGTGTGCAGCTGCCAAGGAAAGCTGGAAATGTATTCATAGAATATTGACTGAGAACCCACTGTCACTAGGCATTGTTCCAGGTGCTGGTGTCATTTCAGTGAACGGAGACAAACAGAAATATCTATTCTTGTGCAGCTTATTCTGGTGTGGGGGTTTGTAAGTAAGCAGATAGCTAAAGCCTTATTTGTTTCTTTTTATCAACAACAGTTTGCTCATCTATATATAATAATTTGAAACTCTTACAGAGATAAACACAATAAAATGGGAAAATTTAATATAGATAAGGGAAGAATAAAAGTAGGAAGGCAGTGATACCGTAACCCCAGTGAACTTTAAAAGAATCCAGACCAAATAGCCTGAAGGATAGGTAGAATAATTCAAAGGTAAAATAAATTGCAGATGATATTCAATAAAATTTTAAAAAAGACTTCAATACATTCTAACACATAAAAACTAACCACCTTTAAAACAGTGATTCTGATGTGCATTTTAAAGGCACTGGATGGAGGGGACCCCCAGAGTGTGGAGTGAGAGGCTCTGCAAATCCTGTCCTTCCCTAAAACCATGCACTGGAAAGTGTTGTCGGAAATAACCATTACCGCCACCGTAAACAAATAAGGAACAAGTTTGCCTTCCAGACAGCTTAGGTTGGTTGAATCAGTTCAGCCCTCTAGTCTATCCGGTCTCCAGCCCCTTTGTACGTCCACAGTGACACTTTCACCCTTTCTATGCACGTTAGAAGACTTCACACTCTGATTCTGAATCCCCCTCCCACTAGTCCTGATAGGTTTTTGAAAAGAGAGATTACTTCTGAAAGGAGTTTTTTGCATCAACCAAATTGTTTTATATGGCTCAGATGTTCATGTCAGTCCTCTGAGACATCCTCGTACATCTATCAGAAAAGCGTGACAGAACTCCCCCGGACAATGGAGATGGTGAGAGACATGCAAGGGGGCGAAACGGAGGACCCAGGCCTCTCATCAGTGGGGAAAACGCACAGGCACAGGAAGCGGCAGAGTCCCCCTTGAAAGACCAGAGCCATTAAGAGAAAAGCGGAAGCTGATGGCATGGCAGATGAGAAGCAGCCCCCTCTGCAGCAGCACAGGACGCCCCTTTCTGGGAGCCAGGGGCCCGCCCCATGCGTCCTGCCGTGCGTCTGCGCCAGTCTTTGCGGCAAAGAGGCAATTTTGTTTAACTTTTTAATTAACGTGCGTCCTTGCTGACAGACATTGTGAATGGGGCACTTTTTCCTTCCCATTATGGCTTTGACTTTAGATTTAACTACTGTGGAAATGAACCAAGAAACATGACTTCAGGCACTGCATTTTAAATGTCAGCAGAGTACCACTGCTAATTCTCTATCACCAGGGCCATCCCATCTTTGTGATGCGTGGTGTGAAAATAATTTTCGGAAGGAGGTTACCCACCTGGACCCCTGGCAACCCATGGGAAGATCACCTGTTAGTTGCAGTTTGGAACTTTGGGTTGTGACTTAGTTTTATTCTGTGCATATTCATAACCACTTATAGACAAAGATACTGTGCTGGTCAAATATGACATCTGAAAAGACCAGAGCCTGTTAACCTAGGTCTAAATGAGTTAACAAAACAGAATCTCCATGCATTGCATCGAGATCCAGCCAACTTCTCTTCTATTGCCTAGAAGGAGTAGGAGGGATATTTCAAAGTATATTATCTTTCATGTCATGAGTGAAAAGCTGTAAGCCATGGAAATGCAGTGAAGCCACTAAGTGGTGAGTCCTCCCGTAAAATATGGATTTGGGAAATGCACAAACCAAGACAGCAAGCAGAAATCTCGCGATGACTTTCACAGAGAGGAAGGAGACGAGCCAAATACCTCCTCATGCAGTCCAGGGCCCGGATGAAGAAGTCCTTGTGCAGCTGGTGCTCGTCTCTCAGAATGGAGCACTGCTCCAGCGTCACCGACATCGACGTCCTGTCTTTGGCACTTTTACAACAGGTGAAGCGAATGCCATTGAGTTTGCGACAAATCTGTAACACAGACGTATACACCGCTGATTGTTCACGTGTCGGTTACTCTTTATAAAGGGTGGGGCTCCTACACTCTTCTTGTCTAAGCACACCCCACGTAGGTTGGTCAGTCCATGAAGGATCGTCTGTCAGTCCAATCTACCATACTGAATGCAGAAGCTGTACCTTTTCATGCCAAAAGCTGGTGGAATACATTTTCTGTGGCTGTTTGTATGGTGTGAGGTGTGGGACTGTTGAAGTCGTGTGGGGGGGTAAATATTCAGCAGAGGCAGCCATGGTCCCTGGCAGGCAGGGCTCCTGAGCTGCAGGGGATAATTGGAAGAATTGTCACTTAGGAACAACACCTTCGTTGTGAAGGCAAAAACCATCTATGTATCCGGGATTAGACACTTGATTTGAATCCTGAATAATGAATACAACCTTTTCTAGTCTTGGTCTCATGTTATGAAATTTCAAACATCCGTATGGTATCAGTATGGCAGGTGAGGGAACTACTAACCACTCATCAATACAACTGCCAGGAATGAGGACTGAAGTCCCCCACCTATGGCCACTGCTAATTGCACGTCTACTGTGCACCAGGCCCCATGCCAATAAACTTCATAGAGATTTGAAATTTAATTAACTGCACATGAACCCTGTAGGGAGGTATCATTATTCTCCATTTACGGGTGGCGACCCTGAGGTTTGGATAGGTCAAGTAACTTGTGCACCACTGGGTAGAGCCAGGAGGCTAATGTGAGTCTACTCAACTCCAAGAACCAGGTCTGTAACTTCCATCCTATTCCGTGTTTCTCTGTCATTCTTTCTTTCTGTTACTCTGACATAAATCAGGAGAAGGAATAATCACTTTTCTCATCGCCTTATGGCTAACGAGTGAATCATTCCATTCCTTTCTCTTCCCTACCCCATGGTGTACCCTTGATATAAGATACCAATAATCGACTTTAGCAGCAACGATGCTAAGCACCATGCACTTACAATAAATCTAATGTAATATAATATAAGCCTGCTTCGTTATCTGTCACCAAGGAGGCCTGAACAGTTGCCTGCTTGGAGGAGAGGATATAATAATAATGCAGTGTATCAAGGGCTTAAACCTATTTTAATAATGATTCCTATACTTAACTTAGGATTTACCTGCCCCTATTATACCTTCGGCATGTTCTCACTACTTCCAACAGAAGTGACTCAAGGCGTGGAAGAGCGTGATTTCAGCATATGATCTTCTTCCAAATAGAGAACTTGAATCCTTTCCAATAAACTGCGTTTTTAAATTTTTAATACAAAATAAGAAAGAAGGGGCTATAGTCATAGTAATAAAATATAACCCTCCACCTCCACGTAGGAGATGGATTTTTAAAAAGAAGGGACATTTAAAACTATGTGGGCACTACTGCATGCAGGGGCGAGCCCCCCGAGCAGACGGGCCGGGGGTGGTCTCTGCATTTCTTCCACTTTCCCAGAGTGTGGGAGCTTCGTCTAACACATCTGATCGGCGTTTGGTCTGCAGAGTCTCGTTTTTAGTTTTAAAAATTCGGGTACAGTAAAATCAAATGGCTTTAGATTTTTCAATTAGCCTGTAAAACTTTATCAAAAGGAGCATTTTCATTAAGAGGTCTCAAGAAGGGAGTAAGGAAACAGGCAGAAGTAAAAGCTTTCTGGAGAATGTCAAAGGGGATGTCTATATTTCATCATTTTAGCAGCATTATCAGGGTCCTTGGTTTACAGGATATTGAAACTGAGCTATCAGCCTACAGATATGCTATTCATAATAAAGTCATGTTCCCACAGAAGGCCAATTTCCCACGCCGGGTGCTGGGTGTTCCTCCAGGCAGGTACTCCCATGCAGCGAGGAGTGGTGAGTAAGCCGTGTTTGGTCGGTATATGCATTTAAGAAAAATATTTCAGAAACGAATGGAATTATGGGAAAACTTGTTTCTATTTTCAAATGGGAAAGTACATATGCTAAGACAAAATATACAACATGTTTGCATGTGAGCATCCTTCATTTTCCCCATGAACACAATAACAATATGTATGTAATGACATGTATCTGCCCCCACGTTGTCAGAGAGCATTGGTAAAGGATCAAACTTCCTTCGTGCTATTGCATTATTAGTGGAATAGCAAAACTAACTTCCAACCTGCCTTCATGAGTTTTCTGTGAGAATTACCAACTGTAGTAGTGTGTGCAAACACAAAGAGCAGCCATGATGGGGAAAGAGCTATTGAAAACCTTCGCGTGACACAGTGTGGTCCCATCACGTAGATGGGACCGGTGTCAATGAGCTGCCGGAAAGCCACGTTTCGTATCGTTACCTTTGATGCTCTTCCCTGGGGCTCCAAGAGGGCACGTAGGGAGAGTAAAGCAGCTTTCCTCTGCCTTGCTCTTGGCAAATTATTTTATATCTAGACTCACGGCAATTTATCCATTCCTTTCCCACAGAACAAAGGAAATAGTATTGGATTATAGTTGAAGTCCTGGCAGTAGGGGGAAAGGCTCTGTTTTAGACACGACTTCTCATAGAGAATGAGAAGACTATGCTAGAACATGGGTTAACCTAACTCCAAATTCCATGAGTAACACTGAGAAGAAACCACAAATGTGGAATTCATCGTGGAGTTTCCAAGCTGTGCCTTTCCTATGGAAAGATCCATTCCTGAGAGTCTGAATGTTTAGCAAAATCCACAAGCTCATACGAACTATTTCTGAATGGTTGCCAGATACAAGCTTACAAAACACGGGCAAGGTTCTTTGGCTCACTCTTGGAGAACTCTGTGGTGGGAAAACAGGACGATCTTTTATCCTGAGGGTGCCATTAAATGAGAAAGAACCATACCATATATAGCTCATTACCCCAAGAGCAACCCATCAGTAATGTATTCTATGCCAATATCTAAATTAACAAACACATTTACAAGCTCATTAATTGAACAATATGTCCAGGAGCCTTACTGAGGCTGTGAGTCAGAGATCTGATCACCACACTCTGTTAAAATCCTAAGTCTCTAGAGCATGATATGGGCAATTGACATTGAAACATGCAACATCAAGAAAATTAAAGACACTTCCTTTTAACCTCAAAGTGTCAAACACATCCAGGATTTACGAGAACGGCCAATGAATAGGTTAGGATTCTTTCTCACTGAGTTCATCTTCTCCCAATTTGTTTTCTATTCTGTTCATAGCACTAACAGTGACACGGAAAATGCTTCATCTCCTGGGTAATGGCAGGTGACACCTGGGGACTCAGAGTGCGGAGGTTGGTCCCTGCCTCGGAGACACCCAGTAAGGCTCGCTGGTCCCCACGGAGACAGTGAGCAAGGTCTACCAGGACAGTGCTCACCGTTGCGGCCAGCCACATGATCTCCACATTCTTCCTTTTTTTGGCTTGGATATTCTGATGGAGGTTTTCTAGTAATCCCTTTAAATCGTGCTGTTCTTGAAACTGTGAAATGTCTGAAAAGGAGAAAAAACAGCGTCAGTAGTAAGTGCTCATGAAATTTTCCTCAATATATATTTGCAAATGTTGTTTGGAGCAGACTAGGTGAAGATAATCATACTTATGAATCCTCTAGTTCTATCTTTCACTGAGAAATATAATTCATTTTCCCCATTTCCTGTTCTGTGTGATTGTGGTAATATCAACTGGATATATAATACTATGACACTAGCAAGAAAAAGCATTCTTGATGATGATCACTGCTCCAGTCAAAGTGTGGCTTCACTCAAAGATGAGACAGGAGATAGAACCTTCCATGTTTTACTACTGAATAGCCAGTCTGAATCAAGAGACTGCATGTGGCAAATATAAAAATTCTGCAAAGCACTGCGTTAGGGCAGCCTGATGTCCAAGATACTTAGGTGACTCCTTCACAAGGCTCATCGTCAGAGGCAGAGTCAAATCGAAAACCTGGTCTCCCAACGCCAGGAATTCCCTCCAAGTGTGCGCTGGTGTCTTCACAGTTAGCTGCGGGTCCCAAAGAACAGTTCCAGTACTAACACAATGGACCGGCTGCTTCAGAATTTTGAGACTCCGGAATAAAGCACCATGATTTTCTCAAAATAATTTAGTTTCATTGTTGACATAGAGAGTTTTTAATCAGCCATTTTAAACCAACTATCAAGCTCCTATATAGAAATCAACTGGCCATTCTTTGCCCCAAAGCTAGTGCTCCAGCAGAGACAGGTGCCACATTCCTTAGTGATTTCGGCACTTGTCCCCAGGTGTGCCCTTGAGAAGGAAAGTATGTTGATGCGCTTGAAGTTTTCAGTCTACTCTTCCTATTTCTCTAATGATAAAACTCGCCTCGTACAGAGGACACCCTTACCAATCCAACGCTCTGCTTGCTGCCATTTTTTTTCAACCTGACAAAAATCTTGCAGGCCACAGAACTTCCTAAAGGAGGTATCATAAGTAATGACTAGTGTGTGGATTAACAGGTGAGATTTCAAGGTATAATGATAAACCCTGTTATATCCCCTAAAAGTCACGGTCTACTTGGAACATGGATTGGTTTGAGTCTGTAAATGTAATGTAAATATCGCCAATAAATCTTGCTATTGCTACTCAATCTCGCATTTCCCTAACAGCAAATTTAGACAGAGTGATGAATCTCTATGCTTATCTCCACAGGAGCGTTCTTTATTCAAATGGGGCTGAAGAATGTAATTAAAAGGCAAAAGATATAAGAATGTTCATTGCTTTATTGTTTAATAGTAAACAAAAAAAATTAAATTGCACAAAGAGAACAGTAAACTGTTATATAGTGTTGCTATATAATATATAATAGATAAGATTAGTAAATGCTCTATGTATCAACATGGATATATACTAAAAACTGTGTTGAGCAAAAATTGCAAACTATAAGAGGATTTCTATAGGCTAATGGCAGTAATATAAAGTTAAATGTGTAGAACCGTACCATAGTTTCTGTGGTTACATACATTTGGAGTAAAAATGTGTATGAAAGGGCAAAACACCGAATTCAGGATATTGATTTCCTCAGAGACGTGAAGGTAAAAGATGGCCACAGAAAGAGGATTCCCCTTCAACTGAAAATATTTCTTTCTTACAAAGTCTGTGAGACTGAGGGATGATTTCCTGCGTACTATTTTAGGGTCCTTATTTTTCTGTTTGTTCGAAGCTTTAATAATTGTTTTTAAAGAAGGAACGGAACCAAAAGTTCCAGGAAAATGATTTCTGGTGCCAAACCTGCCCCTGCTTTGGGGTGTGGTTTTCAGCGAGTTGCTTCACCCTCTGTTCCTATTTCTTCGCTGCAAAATAAGGACAATAACCTTGTCAAGATTCATCGACTGGGGGGGTGGAAAACAATGAATAAAAGTCTTGGCAGAAGATGCTACATTATAAAATTACGTGTCAACCCTGAAAAACAGAGGAAGATGTTAGTGGCTCTTAGGAGAGTTCATAGCCTCAGACAGGATGCCTGCTTTCTCCGGCAAAAGTCAGAATTTACCCAAAGTAGGAAATGTTCCCATCCACACACGCAGGCACACACAAGGATCCGGATCACGGACGTTCACACACCCCAGGTCCGACTCCCACCACTTCCCGATGGAACAGAATAGCCACGTCCAGAGGCACTTTTGAGCACCCTCTTTCTCCTTGTTTTGTCAAACGGGGCCTCCTCAGAAAGAGTTCTGAATGTGACACCGACCTGAACCAAAGGCAGGGTGCTGATGGATGGGTGGGAGTGGGCCTGTGGATGCTCAGCTGATTGAACTGTAACACTAATGAGGCCAAGGCAGTAGCTTTGTCACCTCATGGCCAATGACTAGCTTGCCAGAGTGTTCCAAGGTGAAATGGAAATGACAGCTGTCTTCTCAGCTCCTGCTCCGCCCATTTCCCGCCATGAGCGGGCATAAAATCTACATGGGCTCAATCACATGCTCACTGTGAAGTCAATGGGTACAATCCCATTGCCCTTGAAATCAAGACCAGTCCAGGGAACTGCATGTAAATCTAAGCCAATCTAAACTTGACTCTGACCTTGACCTTGACAATTGTTTCAGGGGTATGCAAGTGACCTGTGATATTCCAGCTGAGTAAAGCTCAGGACCCTGTGAAATGCAAGTGGGAAGAGAAGCTCTTTATCCCTTTGGTTGAGCATGGGTGTGGGTCATGCCAGCCACCACAAGTCACAAGGAGACCAGATAAAGGACAGTGTCAACATCAAGAGTAGCACAGCAATGCAATGGGATGGGGAGAGTCATTTGAATATCGTGCAACCACTAAACTAACTATACACTGGACAGGGATATGAAATACAGTAAAGCTAGGTTACAATAGTCTGCTTTTCCTTCTCAGCTCACACGGCCAGACGGCTCCCCCTTACAGTGCTGACATAGGAGTTGAGAAATGGAAGCATTCCAATAGACCTGTGTGATGGTATCCTTCTCCTTTGTTGGCAAAAAGGCCAAGACATGGGCATTATTACTGATAGAGCATAGAGAGATCTGGCATGATACAATAAGCTAATACATGGTTACTCCTCACTTAAAGGGTAGAGAAAGAAGCATTTCACCTAACCAAATCACCATCAGTTTGCTCTGAATCATGTAGCAAATGTGACGGAGACTCTAAAGCATGGAACAGTTTGTGCTAGTGATTTTGAAAGTGCTTTATTTTATTTCATTTGCTGACGCCAAATTTAAGTGTCTTAATGATCTAAGTGGACACAGAGGGTCCTTGCAAAGGTTTCAGAGATCGTGAAACCCAAAGGGAAGATGAGAGCAAGAAGAGAGAGAAGCTCTCACACCTGCCCCGCTGGCTTCCCCCGCTGATCCGAGAGGCCAGGGAGCGGGTGAGGGGAAGTAGATCCTGATGATTGATGTGCCTTAGAATCGAGGCAGAGAGAACGACTGTTTGTGAGCTACACCATGTTCAAAGGAAACGTGGAGGGAGACATCCACAGCACATAGCCCCCAGACAGAGCAAACAGACTTCACAGTCAGAATAGCTCGATCTGACACCCATTGCAGATATTTCCTCCTGGGTTCAGATGCCGATTCAGCGAGGATTTACAGAAAAGGGTTCGCCCATTCTCGAGATCTCCTCACTTGGCTTACATAAACCCTGTTCCCACTAATTACCAATGCAAACATAGTTTTGTTTATATTATTAAATTTTCAAGTAATTAACAAATCTGAAATTCATAAGTATGCTGGCTGCCAAAAAACCTCCCTGTGCTTAATTTCATTTTGACATTAAAGATATTTTATGTGAAATCGAGTAAAACAGCAGGTGAAATGTTCTAGCTACACACACGTGGACATACACGTGCCATTACAAAAGTTTGAGGCTGGATTCATGTGCTGTGAAAAGACCTATGCACTCTGCCACTCGAGATAATTCAAGCTAAGTGTCAGGATACGTGTATCTCCAGAGCAGTGAATACATTGCTAGCGATTCAGTGACAGGTAGATGTTTATTACAGCTCTCAGTTAAAATAGTAAAATATTTCTCACGTTATTAAAACTTAGTGTCTTATCACTATGACTATCTCAACATTTCAACATATTTTATACCCGTTTTCAATGGACTCTGAAGACATTCCCGATTCTCTGAGTTTGGGCTGCTCAAATGCTACGTGCTTAGTTTTGTGGGGAAACAATGATAAAACTGAACAATGGCCAAAAAACAAATACCCAAAAGTATAAATCGAATTTCTGTAGGCTTGAAGGCTTTAACATTTCTCATGTAAATATTGCAGGAAGTATATGTGATCATTGGTTCCTTACTTTATATTCCCTATAGAACTTGCGTTCTACCTGGTTTTCTCCTTTGTATATGCATGCTGCACCTGATGTAGCTTATCAGTCAGAAACCCAAACCGTTATTGAAGTCTCTGACATGGTTGAGAATGACATAAGAATTTCCACTGGACTCAATGGGGATTTTAACTTCTGGCATTTTTCTGATGGCAATGACATTCATGTCCTAACATGTGCAGGGCATGGGACCGGCCACCTTGGCAATCAGCCCCTTTTTTGGCTCCGATAATCTCAGAACTGCTCTCACGTGCCAGCACATGCTTCCCCCTCCCATCGACCTCTATGTCTGACCCTTCTGAAGATTTACAATCAAGCAGTTATTATAGTTGTTTTCTGTAATTCGCACACTTACAATCAGGAGGCATCTTTTCCATAAATATCGTGTAGTATTCTTTTAGAAGTTCAAAATTTTCCTGATTAATACTTTCCTGCAAAGAAACATCTCCAAACCTAAAAATAGAAAAGGGAAACAGTTCTAGGTCATCAAGTAGCCCCTGAAAGGAACACAATTCCTCTTTCCTTTGTGAACAGATGGCCATGGTTTCCTACGGAGCCGCTCTCCTTTTTCAAGCAACGCTGCACAATTGGTGATTTCAAACCCATCCCAGTCCCATGGGCCCTGATTTAAGTGCCCGTCCCTTTTGACCCGCCAAAATATTCTTACAATCGCCAATATAGACTTGAATGAGATACCAAGTCTAAGACACCAGCCCTTGTGCTGTGTCCGGAATTGATATTCATTGGATGTTAGTCTCCCCACGTCTGCAGGGCTGTAGCTCTGAGATATCAGATAAATCGCCCCCTCTCTTTTTACCCCTCCAAGCTTCCCCTTCACCCGCGGCAGCTGAGGAGGGGCCCGGAGACCAGGACCGGGCCGGGCTGCAGACAGGCTCATCCAACCAACCGTCAGGTGCTGTGGCAAATGCTACGAGCCCTCCAGCCTCCCGGGGGGCATTTCCGCCAATATTTTTTCTGTCCACGCTGTGAAGGCCTAAGCCCTCCACCTAAAACCTCTGCACGGGCGCTCCTTCCTCCGCCTCTTTGTGGGGATAAAACTTTCTACCTGTATATCACTGCTCTTGTGTCTTCATTAACCATTTTCCGGAGTAAAACTTAAAACCCACTTGTCTATAATGGATGCTATGTCAGTGGCTTCCAATATGTGTGTTTTCAGCCAATTATCTCCACTCAAATCTGTGTTTTCCAGATGCCAATGAAAAATTTGAGTGTGACTTATCCGACCCCACTGCACATGTAATCCACCCAAAACCTGAAACCATTCTCCTTCTTTTCTTTAGAAAGAAGCATATTTTGCCATTCACTTGGGTTCAAAATCCTGGCACCTGTTTAGATTTACCAAACCGGTAGTTACAAAACAGTCCCGGGAGTGTAAAGTACCGCACAGGGAATACAGTCAGTACTACTGTCATAACCATGTACGGTGCCAGGTGGGTACCGGACACATCGGGGGGAACACTTTGTAAAGTATAGGGTTGTCCCACCACTATCCCGCACACCGGAAGCGAGTACAAAATAACACTGAATGCAAGCTGCGCTTGAAAAAAATAATAAATGAAATAAATACATAACAAGACAACCTGAAGGGCCAATCCTCTACTGCCACAGCTTACCTCTCGGCGAGAGTTTGCTGCTCGTTGATCCCAACGTTGAAAAGCACGGGGTGCACGTGGAGCAGCTGGCCCTCTCTAACCGGCAGCGGCAGGGACTCAAACATCCTCGCGGGGAGCTTCACCTCCACCACGTAGTGCTCGCTGCGGGAAGCCGGGCACAGAGAGAAGCGTCGTTTATTTCGTTTGTTTTCACGTTGGACTCATTGGAAACAAACAAAGCGCACAGTTGAAATACAGTGCTAATTTGGGTGTCTGGCTGCGATCTGCTTCATTTCTGTCATCCTAGTCATTCAATAATCGTTTTGTTCACTTCGCCATTAAATTACTTGGCACAAAGCGTTGTTTACATCTTTGATTTCTCTCCACTAGTCTGAGTTCCTTGAGGAGAGGAAGTATGTTTCAGGTCACTTCTGTGTCTCAGAGCCGTGTGTGCATAAAAGCCTCGGTATTTGTTTTCTTGACTTTGTTTCTTTTAAAACCCAACCAGGATCAAGGGCAACAAAGTAATTTAAGGGTTTTTTAATATAGTGAATCTAATGAGTCAAGTAATTTGTAATATTTTTATAACCACTGCCCAATTGTTATTGCTATTGATGGACCTCCCTTTTTGTGGTGGCCTGATGAAAATGTAATAGTTTCATTATTGAAGGTTAACCTTTGGGAGTTCCTTGTCATTTTGCAACAGTAGCATACAATAGGTACATTTTTAGGAAATGGAAATTTCCACTAAAAACTACTTCTAGTGTTTAGTGTTGAAAACTTAAATTAGGATTCACAAATATGGCCAACAAGAATAGCTACTTATGGATTTTGAAACTTGACAGTGTGGGTTGACCATAGCAATGTAGAGAGTATTGCCCAGAATTTGGGAAAGTCTGTGTGATTCCAGGACTATATAGACTGCTGGGGTTGTAATGCATGTATTGTGTTACACGGGACAATTAAAGAATCTCTTTGTGAAACCTTTTAATGTCTCCTAGGCACGTAGATAACCAGTTGTCACAGCACCATTTTTTGAAAAGATTCTCCAGGTGATTTGTTTTGGCACCTTTGTTGAAATTGACCGAAAAGGTAAAAGTTTATTTCTGGACTCTATATTCTGTTCCACTGATCTAAGTGTATATACTTATGCCAGTACTACATGGCCTTGATCATTGTAGGTTTTTAGTAAGTTTGAAATCATAAAGTATAAATCCCCCAACTTTGTTATCCTTTTATAAAATTGTTTTCTGCATCATGGGCTCTTTGTATTTTCAGGTAAATTTTAGATTTAGCTTACTGATTTCTGCAAAAAAATACGAATGATATTTACACAGTGATTACATTGAATCAATAGATGAATTTGTGGAGAATTGCCATCTAAGCAATACTGAGAATTCTAATCTGTGAACATGGACCGTCTTTCCACTTACTCGGTGTTATTCATTTCCCTAAGCACTGTTTTGTGTGTTCTATGTTCAGTGCTCAGAGTACTTTGTTGAATTTAGTCCGATGTAATTATTCTTTTTTTGATGTTTCCATGAATGAAATGATCTAAATTACCACCGTTTCTGACAGCTTCTCGGGAGCATGCTTTCTTCTGCTTTCCCGCCCAGATCCAATGAGCCCGCCCCCTCCGGAAGCAAAGCTGCCGGTTTTCCCGGGCTGCCATCGCCCGCTCCCGTGGTGCAGAGGTGCAGATGGAGTGGGGGGATGAGGGGGGGCCGGGGGGCAACCCCTGGCATAAAGGCCCAACTGTCTTGCCCAATCGCACAAGTTTTCTGTGAATAAGTGCTTCTAAATGTGTGTGTGCATCACTCCCTTAGTCCCTAGAGGGCCGTCTTAGACAGTTCTGTGCGTTGGTGATGCTGCTTTCGGAGGGCGGAGCTGCCAGGCCGCTCATTGGCCGGAATCCCAGAGGTCCCACTCTCACCTGCAAGCTACCTTTCAATTTAGACACGGCCCGAGGAGTCCCCTCAGAAACAGCATCCTGTCCTCTGCCCGTAGAAAACGGCCCGGTAAACGTCCCTCAAAAACTGTGATAAAAGTATCAGTTTCTCACTCTTGTTAAGCATCTTTACAGTTTTCAGAGTGGCACTGTTTTCTGGGTGTATGTAATAAGCAGTTTTACTCCCCTTTCTTCCAATGAATGGCAAGTGAAACACTAGTTGGCAGATGCAGTATTTACTTTTATGAGAATGTGGTTTTTCTTCATGTAGAAGCAGCAGCCACCTTTCAGTCCACCCCATATCCAAATCATTCTTCGCATGAAATTTAAAATAATTATCGGATATTTACTGTAGTCAAGAAAACAATTAATTTGAGTTTACTTAGTCTCTTGTTCATTTCTCTCTAGTATGAACAAACCTCTCTCTTTAGTACATTCATATTTATTCATTGTGGTCTGAGAATGTTTTCAAATACTACATGCCATGAGGAAGCACTGAAAACTGCTAACACCAGAAAGGGTTAAAATTTGGAGGACTTCTGATTGAAATGATTTACCAGAGGGTATAATTCTTCCTTTGGAGGTCTATACTACACACCATCATTTTTCTTAATTATTTCTGATATTCTGCTCATCATGGGCTGACCTGCGAAGCTATTTATTCAAAACCATTCTCGGAAATCTGGGTCTGGGAGTGAATTATCAAAAATAATTAAGAAAAATGGTGGTTATATGCCCCTGACATAGAAATACATCTTTTCTAAAATGTTCCTGCTTTTAACAGAATATGAAGTCATCTCAAGAATTATGATGCTATTAACCAAATGATTTCAGCCCCAAAAGTAAAAATGCCCAGACCTTTATACTAGATAGTCATAAAGAGAAAAGTGTTCTCATGCAAGCTGTTATTTTGAATTCTTCATATTTCATGGGGAAGCAACAGCACACTCACCTTGCACACTCATCGTACTGTGCGATCAGCCCCACTGTGTGTGTACAATTTATGTCATGAGACTTTCAGGTATTTTTTCAAGATCTTCCCCCGTCACATCATCCACACTCGTTTTTCACCAAAAGGGAGAACAGAACAAAGCAACAATGTCCAAAGCGAACCTTAGTTCTCCTTGGTTCCTTCGTCAGGAGTTAACACCAACACCTAACAGAGCTTGGTCTCTGGGACACGGACACCACTCACCGTCTCCCTGTTATCACCGGCAAGACATCGCTGGATTTGGCTTCGATTATTTTAAACGCGACTTTCTTCAGGTCGGAAATGCCCACCGCCATGTCCTCCAGCATTCCAATTTCATCACCTGCACAGGGGACGGAGCCTGGTTACAAGCACACTGTCTGAAGAAAATGTCACCTGGTAGCGCACTTCGCTGCCGGAATTTGTCCTCGCATTTTAGTTAACGGGATCGCGAATGCAGCAGATCCATTCCCCGTGCTTTTCCTCAGCGGCTGAAGGTTTTCACCCGTGAGATGAGAACCTTGCCAACGGACCCCGGCTGTTCCTTGCCAACGGACCCTCTTGGAGGGGGTGGGGGGCAGAATGCACACGTTTGCTGGGAGGCTGGAGAGACGTTTTGACTGTTTTAGGAAACAAAGTGCTAAGTGGATCTCTCTCCACCGGCAGGACTGGTATTTGATTTCTAGAAATGATAGCAATGGCTGACCTGAAGATCCTGCCTAGGAGGCTCAGGCTAGTTGTACATCTAAATATACCGATCAATAAAGCCTAAGGAGTGGTCAAGTACGATTCTAGATCCGCATGGTCCAGTAGAAACCGAATGCAAACCACATATACAATTTTCAACTTCCTGGTAGGTCACATTTTGAAAAGACTAAAATAAAAAGGTAAAATTAATTTTAATAATATATTTCACTTTAACTCAATATGTCTAAACTATCATTTCATTTGTAAATCAATAGAAATGAATTATGAGTAGAAGACTCTTTTCTGACCAGTCTTTGAGTCTGGCAGACATGTCAGGCGCACAGTGGTTTGGACTAGGTCCGGTTCCAGTGCGCAACAGCCACACCCGGCGACGGGTTGAACGGTGCAGTTCTGGACACTCGACGGCTGGACTTTAAAAATCCAGCCATGGAAACTGGGATGGCAAAGGGCCTTTTAGATGAAAAAAGCAGACAGCTGCTAAGGTCTCTATTGTGAAGTAATGTATAATTCGCTTTTCATCACATAAGAGGGGTAAAAGCCCAGTTACCCAGTGAAGACAAACAATGCTCGATGCAGTGAAGTTGGACTTCCCGTTTTTACGTTTAACAGAAGGCCCCGAGGCCCAAGCACCCTGCGCAGAGGGGCACGGCTTCCCCGTGCGCGGACGCCGTCCGTACTCACTGTAGGTGCTCAGCAGACCTTCGTACTGCGCGATCAGCCCCACTGTGTGCAGCTGCTGCAGGAAGCCGGGGTCGTGCAGACTGGTGTGTAGTTTGATGATGAAACCACAAACCAATCCAGCAAGCTAGAAAAAAAAAATTCATTGAAGAATTGATGGGGGTCAGCAAACTTTAATTTAAAAATATGAAAGTCTTCTGAGGCACCAGAGATTTAATTAATAAGTTTCAAGTGTGTGTAACAAGACTCTGTATTCTGCGCCGAAACCGGTCGACAGTCTTTGGTCAGGGTGAGGGGAGGGGGAGGGGAGGGGGCGGGGCCACATTGGGAAAGAGACAAGAGGACAGCTCTGGGGTCAGGTCTACAGATCCTGCCTACAGATCCTGTCTCTGCCATGCCCAGTAGTAAAACCACAAAAAGTCACTTAACAGTTACCAATAATGTTGTTATTTTAAGAAATACTTTTTGCACACTTAGAATAGAGACAAGGGTGCTCATTCCAGAGAGTCACAAAAAAGACTGTAGAAAACTGCATCAGTCAGAGCCTAATGCCCGAGAGGCAGCTCCGCTTGCCCCTGGGCCATCCACGGAACAGTGGAGGCTGGGACAGTCTGCTCGAAGTGTTCCCTTCGCCCAGAACGTTTAGAAATAGAGGCCTCTGTCTCTCCCCCTCCTTGTGGCTGTCTATAACACTCGATCCTGAGTAGAGGCAGGAGGGGAGAAGGGAGGCCCCCGCACTGGCCACTGTGATGGGGGCCGGCCTTGGAGCCCTGAAATCGGGTTGGGTGGAGGCAGAGGAGATGGTGCTGTCCACCCTCCCGTCCAAGCCTTCCTGCTGGCAAGTTCATTTTAGACATAAAAGAAGAGACCGTTACGAGGCCCACCCTGGGCTGCACGCAGGAGATGCATGAATAGCCGGTTGCTCACAGGCCCCTTTGCCAGTCCTAGCCGGCCACCTGCAGTGCAAGGCAGCTGTCCCTTCCCCCCTGCTGGGCCCTGCACGGAGACCCCAAGGCATCATGTGATGACAGCATGGCGACCCTTCCCTTTCCAGCCTCTCTGCTCCGTGAAATAGAAGGTACATTTCAGAGACTTGGCAACCTCTTTGCAGAAATAATCACAGGCTCTTACAAGCTGTTTCCATGTAACTTTTGGTTCACAGTTGTTACGAATAAGAAAAACTGGGTGCCGAAACTGTAGGAAAGGAACCCTTTAAAAATGACCCTGCCCGGGGAGGACCTCTGTGCTGACCAAGGAGAGCGCTGAACACCCAGCCCTGCGCTGTGCCCGCGACACAAGAGGCACCTACTGCCTGGCTGAAGACGACGTCCCTCCTCAGGGTGAGCATCAGGCACTGGGGCAAGCTGTACGCCAGTTCCTGGAGGAGCACGAAGGTCAGGGACTGCTTGGCGCGGTTCACCACTTCCTCCATGCAGTCCTTCAGGGTCAGGATGAGGGGGTACAGCTGCTCATACCAGTCCTCTGGGAGGGGGAGGGGTGCGAAAACAGTGGCACAGGTGACAGAAGGTCTTGCGAGGTAGAACCGATTTATTATTCTTTCAGCGAAGGTATACCCATCACTCAGGACTCGCAAACACGAGAATCAAAGATCTTCCACTGAACTCTCTCCTCCGAGCTCCAGATATCTACAAGCAGCCGACTGGGCCACTCCACACAGGGGCGTTTGGCGTGTCGACCTTAGAGCCCCTCCCCCGTTGGCTCATCTCTAACCTGGGCACTGCCTTTATCCCAGTGGGCGGCGCCACCCAACTCTTCCCGTGCTGGAAGCACGAGTGTTTCGGGACTTCTGCAGTCTTCACCAGGACTGGGGCGCCACTGTAGTGCTACTGCTGCAATAACCCATCAGACAGTCCCCTTGCCCTCGCCCTTGGCCTTCAGCACTTACCACCCTCCCAGGATCCCTTGGTATCCCACTCCCCGACTGATCTTTCTCCCTCCAGCCACACGCACTCAAATCAGTTTGAATTTCACCCCATCACTCACTCTCTGGCTTCCTCTCTGAAAATATTCTTTAGGTACTAAAGTATTTAGAATAAAGTCCAAGTGCGTAAAAGAGCCTCCGTTGTCTGACCTCTGCTGCTGTCTAGTCTCCTCTGCCAGAACTCCGTCACTTGCAGTCTGAGTCGCAGCGAACTGAACACGTTTCCCCAAACCTGGGCTTCTCCTTCCATGCAGGGGAAGTCTCCGCAAGTCTCGTCTCCAGCCCTGGGCCCCCTTCCGGTGCACCCCTTCCTGACAAGCACGCTTCTCCTCTGGGGGCTCCATTCAGCACTCCCCCTCCTAGGACTCCCCTCTCCCAGACTAGCATCCATAGCGTAACCCATTTACTGAAGTTTGGGTTGCATTCATTTCTTTCCCTGCCCACGGCTCCCTCCTCTCTCTGTTCTGGAACTCCCTGTACACTGTTGCCCAGCAAGAGACGGAGCTCACTGAGGACAAGGGGTTTATGTTTTAGTCGCCGGATTGCCAGGACTTAGGATTGCGTCTAATATACAACAGGTATTCAATCAGCTTTAACTGAATGGATAAAGTTACAAAAATACATAACAAAAGCCTTTGAAGATATAGACAAGCATGAGGAAACCGTATTTTTGACAGTATTTGAAATTTGAGTAGGTTTCTCTTGAAACCAAGATGCAAAATTGGAACCCTCCGTACTTTGGGTATGCCTCGAGTTCTAATGTGTTTCAATGATAAATGTATGACTTTGACACATGGTATGGATGTGATTGACAGTGTGTTAAAAAATCAAAGCCCTGACAAGTGTCAAACATTACCAGTTCTGGACTGTGTGACATTCCATTAAAATGTGAGTAAATTAATAGTGTGACAAACAGATTTAAAGAAATGAGTGCAGGATGAAAACTAATTATGAATCAAGATCTGAAATAATACGCATTTCTCAGCACCGAAGGGTAAGCCTCATCACGAGCAGTGTGAGTGGTCAATCACCAGCTAAGGCCTGGGAAGAGTTACAGGGAACCATAAAAAGAATCACCATCACGGTCAGACCATGTCTACTGTCACTCATTTACGTTGTGGTGTCATAAACCAAGTAAAATAAACCAAAATGGTTGGAAGAGTAATTCATGACCTCAGTTGCATAAAAAGGCATGCTTTTGCCCACACTGTCTGTCAATGCTTATGTGATGCTATGGTGAAGGATACGTCAGGGACATCGGGGGCTATTTAAAATATTGTAGAATTAAGTGCTATGCCATGAATAAAATATGCTAGAGAAAGGGGAGTTCAATGAAGGCCTATTAAGTCTGTAATCATTTCATAAAGGACTCAACTTCTGGGCAGCCTGGGATAAAACATAAACAACAGTTCCATTTAAACCAGCACTGGTTACCTATTGACTCTAAAGTTCATCACGACATGTCAAAAGGCAAGTGGAGAATGTCACTTGCTTCCAGAATAAAAGACACATCAATAGAGACCAAGGAGGAATATTCCATATTCATGGGTTTTTCATATTTGTAGTCTTTTATGTCCCATTCTCTCTCCCACTTCCTATTTAAATACTGTCCTCAATATGAATGTATGAACTACACCGTGCACACACAAAGCAAATAAATATTTCAGTGAACTGACCCAGATGTCCATCTTAAAAGACAACAGACAACAAACCAATTTTGTGTGCAGAGGTCTGGAGAGATGAGTCTCTAATAACAAATTCTCAGACATAAACAAGCTCGAGCAGCAGGTGGCGCTGCTTTCTCAGGCTGCCGCGGGACCACTGGGTCACCGCATTCAAGGGACTGAACAACTTTATGGGTCTGCTTAGTTCCCAAGCAGCACTGACATACTGTTTCTGCACCACCCAGCACACTGCCCTGTGCCAGTGGTCAAGAACTTGGTCACGGTCATGAGTGCGATATGCTCTTTCCAGTTAGAAAACGGGAAACTGATGTGGGTTTAGGTTATTTTCCCCTTGTTAGGGACCAAGTGACAGCTCAGCTTCAACACGGCTGACTTATTTTTAAGGTCTTTTCAAAGAGGATTGTCACAGATTTCTTCATTCCCATCAGAACAACTTCTTTATTCATTTCTTAACCTAGCCTCGTACTTATCATACTTAGTTGATTCTTAATCATAAATTGCAATCAGGAAAAAGAAGCTTAATTTCTAGTCCTACTAGAATAAAAGTGAAAACCTGGAATAAAGAAAATATGCTAATACTCTAAACCTAGGAGCATTGTCAGATACTTGTCTGATACTAACAGTAATCCAGTGCCTGCATTTTACTATAATTATATACAATTTTATGACTAAAATTTAAGGAAAATGATAACATAAAACATTAGTTATTGGTGATAAAATCATAGTTATTGAACAAGGTAGGATGCCTTAAAGATAGTAGTGAGCTTCTAACAGGGAAGCGTATGAGAGCTAAAAATGCCTTTTCCCCAGCAGATAAAGAGAAATGGCGGCAGCAACTGCAAATCGCAGCGACTCCGGCTTCGCTCCCTGTTAACATTCGCTCTGTGAGGGTCTCAGGCTCTGGAGTAAACACGGTGCCGCCTGGCAGGCCACCGCAGGGCCAGAGTCAGCTCATAGATGGCCTTTTTGCTCCAACGAGCATCCAAATCACTCCCATGAATGAACTGCAAAGGCTTTAGTTTTCTGCTGGAAAAAAAACTTTGTGGGAAGGAAAAAGCTGCATTTTTTTCTTTTACCATCTTGAGATTCAAGATGACAATTTTGACATCCCTTCCCCTTTACCTCTGCATCTCTCCATATGTCAAATCTGACATGGTGTTTACATTGTCCTCATGATAAAGCCGTGTCCTAATGGGGATGACGAGGGTATCCATTCCACACTATTGAGTCAAAGTAGGAAATCCTGAAATGCACACCTCCACTCTCCTGAGTTCAGTCTCTTCAAGAATCAGCTCAGAGCTTGCACATGCACGCACGCACACACACACGACACACCATCCAGTGAGGCCGGGTGGCTAAAGGGTCACCTCAATGTCATCATGGCACCAACACCTCTCCAGGAGCTAATCGGTCCAGTTGGCACCGAAGTGCCCACCCTTCTGATCCTATCCCCTGAGCTCTGTTCCGTGACAGAGGGGAATACAGAAAGCACATTTTAGTGTCTGCACAGAAACTCGCCGAAACCCCTGACCCTGAGACCAACAAGCAGAGGAACTAAAAAATGTGAGTGGCGGAGCTGAGCTCTGGGAAGTGGGCTGGCAGCCGTCCAAGCAGAACCTGTTTTCCAGCCGTTTACTGGTTTCTGGAACATTCAAGTGACACTTCCCGAGGGATTCAAAGAAGGCCTGCCGGGTGCCCCCTCGCCGCCTCCACACACCCTCTATTTCCTGTCCGGGAAGTCCGTGTCCTCTGAGCTCAACGGCACTTATGTTCCTTGGGAGGAACATTAAAGGACCAAACACCAACCGACTGCAGCAGGGCGAAACGCTTTCTTTCCCGTTTCTCAGCGGTTTTCTTTCTTTGCAGGCGCCTGGTCTCCTTCGCTCCTTTGAAACGATCAACCTTCACACACGCTTCTGGCCATTGTTATTTCCATTATCGCAGCTTTTCAGACACAGAAAACAAAGAGGTGCTGAAACATCGCCCGCCCGTTAAACTTTATGCAAAGTGATAAGAGGAGAAATGAGCCCAGCTTTGGGGATTCACCTAAGTTAAGATGATGAACTGCCACGCCCGGAAAGTCCAACAGTCTTTAAGGAGAGTGACAAAACTGCCAAGGTTGCGGGAAGAACAGACACCAAACCCCCAGCCAACAGGCTTTCACAGCATGCCCAGATCCCACAGACGCAGGGCAGTGGGTTCATGGTTAGGGGCTGGAAGTGAGGAATGAAGATATCCCTGCCCACAGAGTCCTTATGGCTTTTGAAGGACTTGTGTCCCCCATCAACCCAGACATGGCAGCCTTCGTGCCCCCCTGAGAGAAGGCCCTGTCATTCAGGTATGACTTAGGACATGCGCACCATAATAGGAGGGGTCGGTTAAGGCTTCCTCTCCAGACACCTTACAGCTAAACCCCCTGTGTGAGTATAGTAAACGTGGTCGCCTCTGGTCACAGAGCCTGCTCTCTGGGGAGCCTGCACGTACCCGGATGTATCCGGGGTTACAGAGCACAGACACCAGGCTGGTGCAGACACAGGGAGAGGGAACCCCTGCGGAGGCTTACCCCTGCCCGTCTTTGCCCTCCAGCTCCTGGCTTTGGTCCAGGAGCTAAAAAAATAACCTGCATGTATCTTCCGCTAACCAATGCTAACCTACCCTCCTTATATCACCTTTTCTCCCCCTTTTCCACCATGAGAATCATCCCCATTTGTTAGACAAATAGAACCTCGTGGCTGTGAGGTTTTGTGAGTGTATTTAATACTTACAACTCACGGCCCCTGCCCTCAAGGAGGTTAAAATATAGAAGGGAAGGGAAGAGGCATAAAGCAAGCCCTACAATGTCAGGGAGATGGTTA